ATTAATTTTAGTGATGCAGAAAAAGTAAGAAGAAAAAATTTCGACGTTGTTTATACACAAGAGTTGAGGAGTATATTTTATAAAAGCAAAAAAATGTAAAAAATCTGAGTTTTGTTCAAAAAATCAGCAGTCTTGCAATTTTTAACTTTCCGCAGTCTTGAACATCAATACCTAGAAGTTCAACTTCGCTAAGCTCAAAACCCACTTTACAATTTTAGACTTTGTTATTATAGGAAGCAGCAGATAAACTTCAAATTCACTTAATCTCTTAAAATTTTTTGGTTTTTAAAGAGGTTAATTCTCCATAGTAGTGTATATGCTCACTTACTAACTTCAATTATTAGGTATTATTCAAGGGAACATGATTTCTTGTACACATGGTGCAAATGTACAACCTCTACAAAACTGAAAAATGCAAAAATGTAATCAACTTAAAAAACTTGAGTTGTATTTTTTAGCCCAACCAATATCCATGTGACGACCATAGATTAGTCAGTTATACCTTTTCCTTTAGAAAAAAAAACACTACAGTTTACCTTAAACGCTTCATCTGGTAAGTCTAGATACATAAATCGATGTATCCGAACCAGCTCCAGCCACTGCTTCTTAGCGTCGGAAACTGAAAAAAATTGGGAGTTAACAATCCTGGAAAATTTTGGACAAATTATTTCCTTTAGCTTCGTCAATCAAATGACCAATGGAATTAATTGTCTGACAATACCTGTGATTTCAAATAAATCTGCGATCACTTCCCATGCTCTTTCGGCATCTTTCGCATTGTAATCTTCATAAACTTCTGGATGGATCTGGACAGCTCTGACAAAATCAGGCAAAAGTTCGTGATGCAATGTCATCTGCAAGGAGGAACAAAAACTAGAGGCAAAACTGCCATAAACTCATTTTTGTGGCGAGTAAAAGTAAGTTTAGCGGAAATTTGTCTTTTGCTTTTTTTTAAATTCGGACTTGTATTTTCGATAAAGAAAAAAAATTATTACAAAGAAATCGATTGTTCCCTTTTTTTCCTGCCACATTCAAGATGACTGGTAGATTTATTGGCTGACTTCGGC